TGTCGACTCACAAAATGCCCTCCCCCTCCACCTTTCAAAACAGATCTGTGCCCTTCCCCTGGGTATGACATTAAACTCCATCGAGTCGGCTCCTGATGTATGTCTTAGTGACTGCTGTTTGTTTTTGGGATGTGATCTGGTTTTTCATGTACATTTTTCGTGATTATGACTATTCTGGATAAAGAAAGTTTTGAGCAGAGGTGGATTCAAGGCCCCACCCCCTTCATTTTTTTAAGGAAAAAAAAAGAAAAATATATTCAAATTGAAGTGCGAGAGTATATTCAAATTGAAGTGCGAAAGTGTAATTTCCGGACATCTAGAGATGCCCTAATCATAAATTTTCTTACCTCAGCCCCAACCATGGTGGGGCTGAGGTGGGTGGTTCCTCAGTCTGTGAAAGTCCCTCCATGGTTCACCTCTCTTTCGAATTCCTGGATCTGCCACTGTTGATTTATTATATAATTATTTTGCACTTATTTATAATGCGTCTATTGCAATTTTCACTTTATCCTCTCAAACAGTCCTAAGAACGTTCAGAGTGCGCTACTTCACAGGGGGATTCGCCCCCTTGACCCCACCGGGGTCGTAAGGAAATTGGCTTAACGGCTCCCCCCCCCCCTTTCAAAATCCTGGTTACGTCCCTGTAATTTCAAACATTTAAAGTTATCTTTATAGCCTTAATTCGCAAAATATGGTGATTTTAGGTCATTTTTTGGATAATGACTGGGCGTGCAACCCTAACTTGCGCACCCCCACCTCCACACCCCCTAGATACGCCACTGCGTCCTTACCATCATCCTCATCACCTACATCATCTTCATCGTCATCATCTGCATTCGTAATAATACTCTACAGGACAGAATCTTTTATTCCAGCCTTCCGAATGGAAGAGAAGACGGAAATGAATAGTAAAGAAATGCCAAATCAATACTAAAGTTTGCTACCTCATTCATAATAATAGTACTGTATACTCAATTAAAGTAACGTAGACAGAGCTGTTGATTCTATTCATTGACTTTATTTCAATAGCTACATTTACTACACATTTGATTAAAGCAAACCACTTATTTTTACACAAACTCATCTCATCACGTCACATGACCACAAAGTGCACAACTGATTGGTTTGTTACGATATCATCACATAACTTGAGATTTGTTAATTACAGACACATAATTCTCTACCCACACGAAACTGACATCTTACTGACGTCTTATTTTTGACATTTTAACTTGCATTAATTGGTTTTGCTTTATGAATTGAGGGGAAAAAATTATGTTTGAAAGATCATTTGATCAATTACAAAATTAAAATAAAAAATGAAACAAAAATATAAATTACCAACGCCTTGTTCACTCTATATAATTACGAATACAGTAGTTCAACGAGGTCGGTGACTAACGAGAACCGTCATAGTATTACTCTCTTTGTGATTACTGACACATACAAAAAACTTGGACAGAGCTACAAGACAAGGAAGGTTACTACTGCATTCGAAAGCCAACTTAGTATCTATTATTTATATACATTTTGGACATGAACGATGACCACAAAACGAATGTGCAAAAGTGACACAAGAAGAAACGTTTCGAACGTTTTTGTTTTGACAATATCATTTCTTCACACACAGTCAAACAAACCAAAAAAAAATGCACCGAATAATAATAGATGATTCAAATAGTTTAGAAGCAATAAATCTTGAGTACACTGTTGATAAAACGACAGAAGGGAAGTCCCTAAAAAAGGTAAAGTCCCTAAAACGAAACCCAGGTACAGTAATTACAAGTGGACTTTTCCATAACTAAAAACAAGTTACCTAAATGGTTCATAATTATTTGAAATATGCCTATATACAAATTGATTGACCTTTAACGACAATAAATTATGTATTGCAATTGAATCAATACAGCTATTGTGCTCCAAATAAACCATACTTATTCAGATTTTAAATACAATATCTTAAAACGTTTTTTTCAAATTTGACGTTACTTTGGTATAGAAAAAATAATTCAACTGCATTTTCCTACAACACATCGAGACAGGGAAACATATAAATTAGCTACTGTACACGTCACCACAACTAATTATTAAAATTCTTTACTTATAATCTATGGAGATGGCTTATGTACTTGGTCTATTTTCCCCATTTTTAACTTTGTCATTTTAGCTTTTATAATTAACTTACTGTCTACTGTTTGCCACAACATATCAAATATCTTTATAAAATACTAAATTATACAATAATGAAATTATGAATACTGTTCTATATCATAATGTGCACCATATTAAATGGCCTTTGCACCAATTATGGGAAGAAGTTAATGCAAACAGAAAGACTTCAAATCATAAAACATGAAAGAAATTATTCTTATATGAAAATAAAAATCAATCAGAGATATTATCTACAAATGGAAACAAATTCATCAAATTTTGACAAGCACATGGTTAGTGAAACATCATTAAGAGCTAATGCAATAGTTGAAAAAAAAGAACCCAGATGCTGGAATTATATGGATATACTTCATTTTCTTAATCTCTTAATTTAAACAGACCATAATGAACTATGAACTTTGTGACATTATCATGGATGGTTTACTAGACTCTGAAGTATTATAGATATATACTATTTAATTTTATACTAACAATATATAAATTTCAATCTAAGTCCAAAGCAGCATCGCCTGCTTTGATTATCGGGATTACATTTCAGCATAATTTCTGTTCACAAACCACTAAAATTGAGCATGTCTACTCACCAACTGGACATTAATGATGACCATTGAGGAACACAGTCATTGTGTTTGCTATCACTATTACACAATCAGATATCTCTAAACTCTGCAGCCAACCACAGAATAGATCAAACTTTGTTCTCAATACAGTAAGCTGGCAAATAACCATTTACATTGATCATAATTTTTCTCCTATTTTGAAAACTTAATAATTAGCAAAACATCTTCCATGACAGTTTATCATGAATAATACACAATTATGTTTTATAAAATTCATTTTCAAACCGTTTGTAGCTGAAGGTTAATGGCAAGGAAGACAATGTCAACAACCATCTGTGGCGATCGCTTCATCTGGTCATAGATACAAATTATGAAATTCTCTCCACATTATCTAGCTTTTGAAAGCAACGCAGTTAAACATCTTTACAGACAATTCAAACCTTCAATAACTTCCAAAATGTAATGTTTAAAGTCACATAGGTATATTTGAACTGCGTAATCACAATGACTGTGCCTAAGCAACGCTTACGAGCATTAACCTACATACTGCCCTCTTTTGGGATTATTATGTAAATCAAAAAATGCTAAATGAACTTGGCAGAATTTGTTTGCACAACACACCTGTTACAGGCTGCGAATATTCATGGCATGTGGTAACGCCATGAGGCACATCTTTATAAGATATACGCTTACACTATGTTAGCCTTGTCACACATTACAGCAGCATGCCCACTTCCAATTGTCAATAGGTGGAAGTAAACACCTGAATTTCTTTTTCACTGTTCCATTAATAGTGATAATGACTAATGTCAAATGGATGTCTCCATTCCTTGCAAACCTCCTCGGGCAGACTTTGGAACATCTTCTGCTTTACACCAGATGCTGTTTCCTTCTGTTTGGCTCCGGCGTAACGTTCCTAAATTTCCATTTCTTACAGACCAAACGCTATCGCTTGGTGCTTCACCCAGAGTGTTCGATCGAACCTTTAACGTCCCTGTCGACAGCTGCTTTAGTGACTGGAGATCACTCTTTCGCACTTTTGGTGACGAGACTCTTGCTGGTAGAGTTTGTGACCTGCATTTCTGCTTGTCTAGCATTGATCCGTACATTGGGGGCGGTGCTGGAACTAAGCCATTAAGAAGAGCAGCTGTGTTTGAAGTGCTGAGAAGTGTGAGTGCAAATAGAATTAGAAATGTTAACAGTCAGTAAGCAATCCCCCATTTTGTTACGACACAAAAGCTAAAAGTGGGTTAAAGAAATGAAAAGTGTGTTGTAAGCTGATGAGGGGGATGATCAACTAAAAATATTGTTAGTAAAAAGAAACAGCTACATACAAACTGCCTTGAACAGGTTTATTGCTTTTGAAATTAGAAATATTTTATGGTTTTCAAAATCGATTAACTATTCATAGTGTTTCTCAAGGCAGAATGTAATATTATTATAGCAAAATATGAAGATCAGAAGGATTGAGGACACAGCAATAGAAAGCAACATTAAATCACATTAGCTGACAAACTGATAAACACTGCAAAACATGGCTGATATTATGTGCTCAATGTTTTAACCTCAGAGAATTGATCAATATTTTTTTAAGAATATGAGTGAATTTTCAGACACAGATGTCTGCTGCATCTAGAAGCTGTGGAAAAATTCTACATTGAAAGCTTTTAGTGAAAATATGAATAGAGGGAAACCCTTAATTACTTCACTGATTGTTTACTGCTATACATTCTGGGTACAATAGGAAATGTTTTCTTATTGTGTTATAAGTAATTATCAGGCTATCAGGGGCCATAGCATAGTGGTAACTAAATATTATTCTTAGCAAATTTTTTTTAACCAGTAAATGACAGTTGTTTAAAAAGATGAAAGATTGGAAAGAAGTGATTAAGAAGCAACATACTGCGCTACATAATAAATGATGTTAATAGGCTTGGGCTAATCCCTTAGTTACATTATTAAGCAGGTAATAGATGAAGTTTAAGATTTCACTATATTATTTTTTTATTCTAATTAGTAGGTTTAAAGATGACTGATAATAGATTAAATGCATTTACTCTATTTCAAATTCAATTAAAATTTTCTAAAATCTATCTACAATTATAAATTTATAAATGTGAAAAATATTATTTTTAACATGATATTATAGACCTATAATATTCACAACAAATATATTATAAAATTTCAAGGCATTGTACATCACATTGTCGATCAACAGATCAATCAGTATATAATACTGTACTATCAATAATTACACTGCACAATACAGATAAGCACAGACATTTTAGTAAAACAGAATGAAGCATTTGACAGTGCACTAAAGAAAACATGAATAAGCATTATTATGGTAAATATGCAAATGAGGATGAATATAGATTACAACTGATGAATATTCATAGGAGAGGTATGCATTGTGGATGAATATTTTAAGTGGATGGAAACAAGTAAATCTACATTCACTCAAGACAAAACACATACTGGCAAAGATGTAAAGCATTTAGGAGCAGAACCGACTATGCTCTGAAAAATGAAAAAGGGGAGAAGACAGTGATTAAATACAGACCAACTCAAATAGATATGAGTGATACAAAACGTAATTAGACATCAATAGAGGGCGATGTACTCACAAATACTATGCTATGCTGGACTACTTTTGCACATGGTTTAAAATCGGGTTTCAGGAAGGTTAAAAACACAACTTGTTTTTTTCTCAAATGACAATAAATTGAATAAGAACAACCATTGCTGGAACTAAGGGAACATAATCTGATGATAGGGGAAAAGAGGATATGCATATTCTATAAGGACGAATGCAAGCATTTTTGAATTAAGGTTTATGCATGACTTCATTGCGTATTATATACACTGTTTGGATAAATACAGCACTGTACAGTATATAGAACAGCGTTAGATGGAGTTTGTGAGTACAAGTCCAAACGATGATTCGTCATCTTGTCAAAATGATATCTATACATTCTGGAATGTCTAAGAACTGTACGATACATTCACATAATTAGCGTACTGTACAACAGTGCTATAGAATGATTAAAACAAAACATTAACCTCTGATAAAGTGCTAAACATAATAAACTCAATAAAACAATAAGCTATTTTATGAGAAATAAAACAATTTTTTATCTCAAATAGGAGAAAATGAAAACAACCCTTCCAACATATGTAACATCCTCTATACAATTACTAACAAACACAATAATTTTATTTTTAGTGGACATATTCCATTAAAAAAAAATGTACGATTAATCCAATCGATAGTAATATTAATAAGTATCGTTGAAGAAAATATTTGAGCAATTTCATGAAAATAATTTTGCATTTTAAAAATCTGTCAAATGTGCTATTGGATAAAGTACACTATAATGAATTAATATATTTTCAAAAATATATATAAGATAGAAAATAATAAAAAAAATTGGGACTGTTCAAAAAATATATTGACACAACTGTTTTTTTTTTTTTGGTTGGTTGGTTTACTATTACAATTTTTAAAGTTGATAATTCTATTCAATTTTATTCTTCCAATATGGAAATAGCAGTAAGTACATTTTCAAGTCATATTCTTATGGTTTAAATTTATACAAATTGCAAAAATATACAAATTAATAATTTTATTTCACATATAAATGTAATTATTTATGTAAGGAATGGGTTTAAAATCATACTGACAAACACTGGACAACACAAAACGAGTCTATAAAATAAAAAATTGTTTTCTACAATTTTCCATGTGGATAATAATATAGGCCAAACACGTAAACAATATTGCTATATATTTTTTAAATTAAATTGTCAAACTGAAAAGGGCATACAAAACAATAAAAAATTAGACAGACAAAAACATTCACAATTCAAAAAGTACAAATCAAATTACAATGTTATATTAAAAATATATTTAAAGATGTATTATGTACAGTAGGTGTGTTTGGTAATCTACGTTGTCATTAATAAGCAGAATATCTCACCTTATTGGCGTTGAGGGCGGTTTACCATCTCCAAGAGGTTCATTAACAACTCTGTCGAGATCAGCCAGCACCTCGTCTAAAGACTCAGTCTGTTGTTGTCTGCGAGCCTACAAGTTAAATTGTATATCAGAGTGTCAGACAAGAAAGGTGGTAGTTAGGATGTGAAGGGTTAACTTATAGATTAATTTAATTTTGAACGAGAAAGAAGCTTATGTAGAGTATTAAACTTAATAGAGAAGTATATTATTATTATTATTATTCTCACCAGTGTCTCATTCGTACGAGAAAACTTTAGAGTTTTCTACATATAATACATATTTGAATAACAACTTACTTTACACTGTATCCAGTTTTAAAATTTAATATGTGTATGTGCAAAATGGAATGATTAAAAATGCTTAAAAAGTCTTTGGTTATAAAAATTATATTTGAAGAAGACACTATGGTTAAAAAGAATAAAACTGTTATATATTAGAAATTTGTTTATTTGCAATGAGCTGGCAAGTACAAAGTGATAAAGCGCTATTAAATTAAAGTAAATTAATCAGGATGATATGCTTTATAGAGAGCACTGTGATTGGTAGCTTCAGTCATGCGATCACTTGTCATTGTTAGTTCAAGTTCAATCTGAGTTGAATATGACATTTAGATTCAAAATAACATTTCTGTAAATGCTAAAGTTTTTACAGAAAATGGTCAATGAGGAACCACTTGGTGATTGTCTTACTTTTCATTGTTTACATAATTGATAATGGCATTAGACAGATACTGGCATACTAATAGAATTAGAAACTCCTAAAGGCAACTTTATGTTACCCACTAGAAAGCACCTTAAAACCATTCACCAAAATGTCAGAGGTTAGATGGATAAGCATGTGTGTCACCTGATCTCACTGATAAGTGTGTATGTTTTAGAGGTGGATCCCCACCACATTTGTCTAGGTTAATCCATGGAGGAAAGAAAGCAGGTTAATCCTATTGCACCAAGCAGAAGAGGTTGAAAATATAGCCCCTGAACACCAGCTAAGCAATGATGTACCTTTGGCTTGGTTGTTATCAGAGTTAAAATGAGTTAATCAAGCATTGTTAGTGGGATTAATGAGCTGTAGAAGCAGAGAGATCAACCAGAAAAGCTGAAGAACAGATGTGCACCCTACATTGGCTCCAACTGCCAAAAATATAAATCATTCTACATGGATTGGTTAGGTGATAGAAATTATGAACTTGTCAAAAACAAGAAGGAAGACAATGTCAGGAACAGATTGGACACAAAAAGAGAGTAAAGATGGAATGTGCAGGTGTATTAGGCGATGCTCAACAGGATGAAAAGTCGCAAAAAAGTTGCATAAACGCAAAGTCACCTCGTTTGGCTGTGCTACCTGTGGCTGAGATGATGGACTTCCATTCTGTTTTCGTTTATTCTCCTGCTGGAGTTTTTTTAGAATGGCGTACTGTTCACGTAACTGTTGATCCTTCTGGTGTTGTACTGGAGAGTTGCTCAAGCTATGGCAGCCTACCTTCATGCCCCCAACTGGAGATGGGGACATATTCAGCTTCGGATTTGATAATTGCTTGGCAAGACGTGTTCTCTCGTTTGGTGAGTTTCCATTTCGATGCTGTGGAGATGGGGATGCAGTGTTCCTCTGCATCTGTTGGTGGTTTCCATTGGTCATAGGTGAACCACTACGAGGTCCATGAACCTCACTGAAGGCACTCTTAGGTAAATGTGCTTGGTTGCTTGACTGTCCATATTGCTTACCATCATTGTGACGGATATTGACTGTTGAGCTGCTAGCTTGTGGATTCACCATACGTGGACTTGGATGGGAACCATTCATTTTCCTCGGTGTGTTTGGATATGAGTGGCTTCCACCATTCCTCAACTTTAGCAATTCATCAATATTCATATAATCATTTTCAGAATGATTGGTTGCATGCCTCTTTGGACTCTGCATAGATTGCATGTTGGAATGTTGTGTGTGACCTCCATTATACTGTTTTGTAGGAATTCTATTCTTAGGCATGTTCAGTGGCTGGGCAGTTATCTTTGTGCTTTGGGCTCTGGGAGGCTTAGGTGGTGGTACCAATTGCATTGGATGTTGGTTTGGTTTTGGACCAATCTTTGGGGGAGATCTCTGATGGGACACCATATTTGGTGAGCCATAGTTATAATGAACCTGAGGCTGTGGTAGCCTTGTTGTCTGTTGAGCTCTTGGGCTCACCAACCCATACTTCTGAACATTTTGTGGGGATTGTTTTTGTATTGAATGTTTATCGTGCACAGATTTTTTTAAAAAGGCTGGTCTAGGAATATAATCCATCTGAGTGGGTGGCGGAGGATGTGCGGGTGGTGGAGAGACCTGGCTTTGAGCTACAATCGGTAGAGTCTTTACTTTGGGTCTGACAACAAGTTCTGTTGGAATTTTCAGAGCAAGTGGAGAATCTTCACACTGGTTTCCCCTCACACTAACCCCCTGGGGTGGCATGTCAATCCCTGTACCATTCTTGGTATTTACATTAACTTCAGCTTCTTTACTTACTGGAGAAACTGTAGTTGTTTGTGTTTTGGTGATGAGCACCACTTTTTTCTTGGACACAAATGAAGGGTCATCCACCTTTTCAGTTGACGTTGTGACTACAGTTGTTCCTTCAGAGCTCGATAAACTACCGGCTGAGGAATTTTCAGGTGATTGCAAAACACGGGCTGACAAATTGGACCTCCTGGGTGGCGGGGGAGGTGGTGCTTTGCCTTGTTTGTTCAGCTTAATTTCCTTCTTAGCGGCAAGCTTTTCTCTCTTCTCTGGAGTCACAATTGGGGTCATGTGGTCGTGTTCCTCCTGGCGATACAGGTTGCTAAGGTGCGACTTTGCCCTGGATTCAATATCATTCATATGGTTAGTTTTCCGTAGTGACTTATTTCCCTGATCAAGTGATTTTTCAAATTTGCGGAGATCTTGTGAGTTAGTAAAGCGACGTTTTCGTTCCCTTGACTCATCTGCCGCCTGGGGAATGACAAGCAGGGAGAGCGGTGTTAGTCGCCATGAAATAATCTTAATTTTAACATAAAATAAAAATGCAAAAATAACAGTGAGTTAATAAAAACAAAATTAAACATTATGAACAGCAAATACAGTAAATTGAAATGCAGATTCTTGTCAAAATTATTGGTGTAAAAATAATTCCTTCTGTCTAAAATAATAAAAACTAAAACCAAAATATTATTGATGTTGCATTATATAAAAATAAAATAAAAATGAAATGTAGTATAAGCTAAGCCAGAGAAATTCACCAATAATTTTGACAGAGATATAATAATAACTCTCTCATATTCATAAGGCAGTTAATTGAAGGGATATACATGTGCAAGTGCAGTTATCAAGGCTATATAATATGGGAGTACATAAATATAATGTTGCAAATGACAGTACATGTTAACATTTACTGTGAGACCACTTTTGACCCTTTCTATCATGTTGAAAATGTATTGCATTCAATTTTCAAATTCCTAAGCTCTCTATCACCACTAGAATGGCCCATTAGAAATAGTTCTGCAAAATTATCGTATATTCTCATGTATAATACGAGGCTCAAAATAGCAAATTAAGATTAAAAAACAGGAAGTAGTCTTACATGCGCAACACATAACTTTTTTTGATTTTTAAATTATGTTCGTCTTATGTTCCAATTGTCTGTAACAATGAAGCTACTCGCTGTTAATTTGAATGAACGTAATTTTAAATGCAGGGAAATAAGATCTTGATGAACATTTAAAAGCCCATAAAATTGTATTACTTTGAAGATTGGCCCTACACCTGGCCCCGTTTTTAGCCAGCTAGATGCAGTATCAAGTTAGGAACACCGACAATGAAACACAGGGTTGTCTTATACGTCCGACATACCAAAATCGTCCAAAAATCTTCTTAAACTCAGGAGTCGTCTTACTGTTTACGCGAGTATATACGGTATGTGGGTCATTGATTTACACCGAACAAAAGTCATGATGGTTGGCTATAATAAACAGATACAATGGGTGGCAGTGATAAAGAACTTAGTGGGTGGCCATGATACAGGGTGTCCTCTGAAAATATGTCTAAAATCAGCTTAGTTAAACAAACACAACAGTAAATTTTGAACTCATCAAAATTATTCTCTTAAACCATTTTGGACTGCCAATCCAGGTCATATCAATTTATATATTTTTCTCCATCTTACTATTTTATGCACATCCAAAATTAATTTACTTGCAGCATTCAAAATGAAAATTATGCCATACTACCTATTAGGAGGTAAAAGAGTGGTGTTATTTGAGAAAAATATCTTGGCATTCCCAAGGTTCGAGCCCAGAATATTGGGATTAGAATGCAAACACCTTAACCACAGAGCCGCAGTTGCTCCAATAAAGTTGAATTGAGTGATGATTGATTGGAAATATTTGGTTCCCATTTTACCTGGATCTTTTTAACCCGATTATCATGGTCAGGCTCCAATCCTTTGATGTTCTCCAACAAAGCAGACCGGCTAGGTACACCGGGTGAGGGCTCTATTACTGGAACAACAGGAGATCGGTGTTCCTGCACCCCTCCCAACCTTTAAGATCAAACATAATTATGGTCGTTACAATAAATATTATAAAAACAATTATCTTCTTGGTTTTACTATGATGAAGAGTATTAATAAGATCCCTCCGTCACAAATAAACTTATAACCACCATCATCACTCTTATAATCATGGTGTTTTGAATTAAGTTTAGCTATGCTTGATAATGTTAGAGCAAGATTTTACAATTACAAATTAATTACATTTATATATATTTCTAATATATCAATTATTCTGACAAGCCCTCCATGGTACCACAACCTAGCATACAGTCTGTGGCAACATATGTTGTATTCCTGTCTCTTATACACATCTAGATGTGTATAAGAGACAGGTGTTAGTCGCCATGAAATAATCTTAATTTTAACATAAAATAAAAATGCAAAAATAACAGTGAGTTAATAAAAACAAAATTAAACATTATGAACAGCAAATTATAAACTTACTGTAATGTTATTTATCAATTTATCTTTCGCTTGTTTGTATTTTTCTATATATTTATATGTATTATAAGACATCCTGTAATTGGCTCCCGCTGTTGGATGATTTTCGAAATAAATAAAATAAAAAAAATAACCACCATCATCATTCTTATAATCATGGTGTTTTGAATTAAGTTTAGCTATGCTTGATAATGTTAGAGCAAGATTTTACAATTACAAATTAATTACATTTATATATATTTCTAATATATCAATTATTCTGACAAGCCCTCCATGGTACCACAACCTAGCATACAGTCTGTGGCAACATATGTTGTATTCTATTTTATAAGTACATATTTGAATAGTAAAGTGATGAAATAGCGTGTGTACAAAATTTGGCCTCATGGAAGATTTAATATCAAACTATAATAACAGTACTACAAATGCATAGTCACCTTTTTAATGTATGCAGCGTTCCTGTAAGCTTTTTACATCGTTTCATATAGTCATCTAGCTTTGGTGGCTCCTCTTTTAAAAAGCTATGATAAAAAAAAAACAAAAAAAAAAAACACTGTATTATAGTACACAAAGTTTACATCATCAAAAATTTAAAAAATATTTCCCATGTTAACTATACACATGCTTAACTTTTTGTTTAGTCCAAAAAAGGGGTAGGAAGAACAGATAAGACTTGTATACTGTATCAACATATGTTATACAAAGTGAAAACATGAACATCATTTCACATCATAAAGTTGAAAACAAAGGCTGTATTGGAATTTACAAAACACACTTGTGTTTCACTCAAACAATAATCATAGATAATTATAAGACTAAAATTCTATTCTTTGCTCCCTGAACGCTTAATCTCTAGCCCATTACCTAGAGTGGCTCTTAGGCGATTTCCTGTAAAAAACAAACATGAGATACATTTAGACTTGACTAAGAGTAAACCTACTTTTCTTCTTGCACTACTACAGACATCTCTTCATTCATCACTTTTTTCATCTTATCTGACAAAATTGGAAAGGCAACTGAAATTGAAACAAAAAAAAAATTACTAACACAATCTTAATAAAGCTACTATGAATCATTAACACAAATAGGATAGATATATATTATCTATATACAAAGGGTCTATTAAGTATAGTAGATAAATACTCTTGTGTTCTTAATTATTAGTACTTAGTAATTAGAGATAGTACAAATATATCACCTTTTTGTTCAGAAATCTTCTTAGTTGTGTTGCCAAGCAAAGTGCTCATATTGCTAATATCTTGCATATCAACCCGGCATTGTTTATTCACTACATCACATCTTGTTTCCTCCACTGTTGCTTCTAAATCTCTGAAATTAAAAATGACTGAATTAACATAAAAATTGATTCAATACTTTTGAGAATAATTGACTATAGGCTATTTGTTAAGTTGGTGTTGATATGAGCATTTCTTAAATACATACAGTAAGAGTAAATAGTGCTATATCTATTTGAATGTGTTTATATAGTACAAGTACATCTTGATGTGTTTTTTTGATTTTTTTTTTTATGTGATGCCCAGAAACAGTAAATCTATGACTAAGTCCAGGCAAAAAAAAAAAAAAAAAAATACAGAGGGAGTTGATTAATACGATTAATATTGCATTTGAAAAGTTGAATATTACAGCAGAAAAAACATGTGATGGAAGTTTATTCCAGAGAACAGAACTTATGGAAATGAATGAGTTAGAATGAGATAAGTAAGGTGTAGATTTAGCGGCGCTCCATAAATACACAGCATGTATGTATGTTTGTAGGTTACTCCTGTTTTCTACTTTAAAATCAATGAGAGTATTCATTAAAAAACTATAAAGGATAATACAACATACTCTAAATCATAATGAATTTTGTCTGCTGTTGACTTGTATCGAATGAATTCTTGATGGACGCGACTCCTCTCGGCTCTGATAGGGTGATTATTTGCCTGCGGCGTGGCATCTAGGGCCTGGGTGATTTTACGCGACGTTATGTTTAACATATCATTCATTTTCTGAGCATGATTTAGTTGAAGAATGCGAAGCTGCTTCAGTTGGTCCCGTAGGGTCCTCGCTGTTTGTCGTAGATCGAGAGCTGAGTTTCTCAAGTGGACATTGATAACTGGTGTAACGCAGGAGCTTCCTGATGCATCTGCAAAGCATAGAGGCAGAAAATTATGAGGGTCATGTGGTGTGGTGTGTAAACTTTATCTATCAGGTTTATGTTTTTGCAAAATATTTGCTTGGACAACAACCACACTTTTTTGTAGGAGAAAAATGTGTACTTTAGTTGAAAAATGAACTGTAGGAGTTGGTGTATATTGTTGGGAATGTGATTGATATTATGTAAAATAAACTCACCACTACCGTCAGCTGACATTTCCGATGAAGCAACACTGGATCCAGTAATCATCCGTAGGACCTCTTCACTCCTACTGGAAGACATTCCAGGTGGAAGCTTGCGTGCCTAAAGGAAGTTATGAAAAAATGAATATTAAATTAGAATTAGGAATCAGAAAAATAAATTGCATATTTATTTAGCTTCTTTATTTTTTTCATATTGAATATAAATTGATTTTATTTTTCTTGACAGTAAATTGAGGCAAAGAAAATATGGGCTGGCATGGGAATCAAAATCAAATATCGAAGCCGCGGTGGCAAAAGCGGATCACTGCTTCAGAGTATCATTACAACGTATTACCACGTAGCTAAACCGCCTTATTTTGCAATTATCTTCATCCTATTGCACCTGTTAACAGCATTACTTGTCTTTGTAAATAGTATTGTTGTTTGATTAAAAAAAAAAAAAAACTTGGATAATGCGGAGGCAATTTGTTGAAGGGCTGAACCAAATCCTCATCAAAATGTGAAAATATCTACTGTATTTACATTTCAATTATTTATTGATATCTACTCAAAGAATTTTTAAATATCCACATGATGATAAGTTACTAGTAATTGTGTATCTGCATTGTCATGAAATGTTGTGAGTGTTCATCTCTAGACAGGTTCCTCATTCTTGACATCTACCAATCTTTCACATCAGCCCTCAGGTATGATCTTTTGATGTCCTCTCACTTCCTCTCCCTGCCTTCTATCCATCCATCTATTACATTTCTCAATATACAGCCCACTCATGGTAAAATATGCTTTATCTGTTGCCATCTTATATTATCTTGACTCCTTAATTAACTGCAATTTGAATTACACTACGATACTTGTCATCTTGGCTGTCAATTAACATTCATTTATTGATATTTAATAGTTGCAAGCATCTTCATGTGTTGTATTTTCATGTAAAATTCTACTCAATCTTTGTAACTGCACTGACACATATTTTATTAGAATAACCATATTTGTTCAAGTAGTAATGCCAGACCTCTTCACTCAGGCATGGCAGCTGCATGCCCCTCGGTGCAGAAGCAGCTCTCAGAGGCCTTGATTATTCTGCTGTCATTATCATTACTCTTAGAATGAAATGAATGCATCAAAACATTTTCTAGGTTTACCTTTTGTTCATCAGGACTTCCAATGCTACCAGTAGTGAGGGCAGTCTCAAGAATTCCAGCTAAACTTGCGATTTGGTGCTCCATGGCCGACATACGAGCACTAGTTTAACAAAACCAACATTTTAAACACATGCCCTTCATAGAATATTCATTGTAAACATACAATAATGCCAATATGAAGATATACACATTAATCACTATCATTTGCATACACAGTAGAAGTTTGTGGTGCAATTTTTTTTTTTTTCAAATGAAACATGCTTTGTCATGCATGTTTGAACATACAAGAAGTAATTGTAGCCTCCTATGGTAACATTACTGTACCCAGGTGCATTGTTAAGAGCATACAGCATTTTGATGTGTCTGTTCCCCAAAACCCTTTCTGTGGCTGTCACTCAATTTGTTAGTCTTAGGTGCTGAACACTGAACAAAACAAACTTTATGTGATGTTAATGATGTGGACTGAATGTTACAAGGATATTATTTTAATTTACAACAACAATGACATTTATTATCATCATATTATAAATTATTATCACCATTATATTATTAATATATTCAAATGAATTATATTATTTTATTGTATTTGCTCAGAAATTTTTTACTTAAAGACTATTTATGTGCTATATAAAATATAAATGTTAATATTATCATTTCCATTTTATAGACCTTTGATACATGAAACAAAAATATTATTTCCGAAATACACATAACAACCAAACAGATTATCTACTCTTTAACATTTCCAATTTATAATTCAGTCACCAAACAAATCTAATAACAATGTAATATTTTAAAATAGTATTAACATGAGAAATATTTCTAATCAACAAAAAATCAATAAAAAACAAGGTGAACCAAAAAAATTAAGATGACATCCACACCTAACCTAACCCAGAGACAAAAAAAATACTACCGCAAAACTCACTTGGCTTCTGGATCAAATGGTGTTGAGCGCCCAGAAGAGTTAGGGGGCGGGCTTTGCATATAGTATGCACGCTGAGCTTGGTCCGTGATGGACGTACTGGTTGGTCTTTGCATAATGTACATGCTAAGATTAGATACAGAAGAATCCCAATAAAAAACACATGCAAACAGAACAGTATTCTTATTACGGTTCATTCAGGCATTTCAATTTCAATTTCTACCTATTTAGTGTATTTTTTTTCTATGAATTCAACTCATCATTGAAGAACTATTTGATTTAAATAAATGTTAGTTGATAGATGCATGTTTTAAATTACCGTATTTATTCAAATAAATGCCACAGGGCCTTTATCATTGAGGAGTGTTGTTGAGGGGTGTGTTTATTCGAGGGAGGCGCTTATTCGAGGGAGGTGTTTTTGAGTGTAAAATGATAACGTATAAACTCAAATAAATGCCCCTTAATTTCACTGTAAATGTGGAACTACAACATACAATTACTGTCAAAAAGTGTTTTTGCATGATTATAAAGACTTATTGAACAAGTTAGAAAAAATGTAATTCTACTAGAGCAGACAATTAATAGAATGTGTTGAGGATGATGTTGCTTCCATTAGCTTTGTTTTAATCATTTATGTGGGCGTTTATTCCAGGAAAAAATAAACGACCCGGGGTATTTATTTGTTTGTTCGAGGGAGCGTTTATTTGAATAAATACGGTATATTCATTCATGTGTTATATTTAATTGTTAAATGTAGGCAGGATTATTTAATGTTTTAGAATGAGTATCAACTAATACATTCTAATTTGTTACATGACAATACAGAATATCTAAAAATTGTCCCATCATTCAAGGCAGCAAAAATGCATCAAAGAAATTGCAATCCATGCAAAAATATGCATTATAGCACTGGTCTATAATATAAAAACAGTGTTAATTGAATTATGTTTTGAAACCAAAATTATATGCTAAACATAAAATCTATAAACATTCCAAACTCAATGAATATAATTTAAAATATTAATTTAAACATAAGCATGGCATTAAAACACGGCATACTACATCAAAATAAGGCATATGGCGTCAATATTTTTAAGCCATGTGGCATTAACGTAAGGCATATGGCAAAAACATACGGCATATGGAAGTAACATAGGGCATATGGTATTGACTAAGTATATAACATAAACTTAATGGAATAGTAAAACGATGGAGAAAATTAGAAGCAAAAAATAATGTTGCTAATATTATGTTAATTGTGAGGTAAGGTATGACAACACTAGATTAAGTAGTTAGATATGGATTTGAAAGGTAAACCACAATTGAATTTAGTTATTAAAGAAGTATTAATACTATACAAAAATAAAACTACAATGAAAATGATTTTGACTTAAAAAAGAAAATAAAAGGAGAGCATCTGACTATGAAATAAAAGGTCTTATATTTTTAGATTGTATAATTTTGTGATGTTCTCACTTACGCATACATAATTACAAAATATTTGTGAAACTTCAGAAAGTTGAAAGTTGTCAGAAAATTTTATACATAAAATGGTATAAGCAAATGATATAAAATGGCAGTATTAAGTCAACTGTACCTTCATGTGATATTTGAAATTTGATTGAAAAGTTGTCAGTGTGAAAGATTACAGTAATTATGAGGCTATGTGCCGCATATCTAGTAATTGATGTGGAACTATCAGTATGTTTACAATTCAATGTAATGGCAAGGATAAAACACACTATCACATGAATAGGACTGCCAATTTAAAAAAGTAAAATTGAAAAAAATATACAAGAAAAACGAAAAAAAAAAAAAAAAAAAAAAAAGGCAAAACTTACCCTCCATTATCAGTAGCACCTTTCCCTGGTGGTTGGCTGTGACTTCTCTGCTTTAATTCAAGCTCCGTTCTATTCATCTGGCGCCCTCTCTGAGCACTTCCACCATGAGAATAGTGTCTCGGAGATCCAAAAGACTCTCTCTGGCGGTTACGAGTGGGGGTGCCAGGTAGGTTAAGACTCTGTGAGGAGCGCGATCTCGGCGTACTTTGTTGTGAGTAGTTGGACGGTGTCGGGGGTACGTCACGTTGGCTGGCTGGCCTGTGCTTTGACTCTGGCGCATCAAGGTTGTCCAATGAGTTTGACATTCGAGCATACTGACCCTTTCCTGGGCTGGGATGATGACCATTGGTGTCAGCTACTGATGATGGTGTGTACCCTATAATTTAAAAAACTTATCTTATTACATTATTTTATTTACTTATAATGATTCCAGAAGATGACGATGATGTCAACAGACTTTTGTCATTATTTTTTGATTTATTAAATTTTTATCTTTAATTTTTAAGTTTAAGAACTGTTTCATTTCATGAAAATTCATATGTAATTTGAATTATTCATGCAGCATTTAATCACCTTGTGGTACATGACCCTCATGTGATACACTCCTATGTTGTATAGGCACTCTCTGTGGGCCATCAGAGTAGTTTCTACTATGGGATGGCGTATGGTTCTGACGGCCAGGCCCACGATGCAACTCTTCATAGTCTCTATTTCGTGTGAGTGTGGCACTTGCCCTATCTGGAGTACCTCTCCTAAAGTTGTCCTGTTTATAGAGATTTAAACAGAGAAAATACATAAAATGATATATAAAGAAAATAAATTTAACTTTTGATTATTTACATTTTCCAAAATCCATTTTATTGTAAGATTTTAATCCAGAACTGTGGGCTTGGTTGGCACACACCTTCATTGCAAACAACCACAACTAAGGTGAAATAAAGTTTCTTGCTATCTTTCAGCATGATTTGTATTATCTAAATGTTCTGGCATTTAGTACATGTTCTATAATTTGATACAATAATGTATTCGCAAGAGTACCACTACAATGATTGCAATTGTTAATGAGGTTAATAGTGTCCAGCTATTGGACATTAAGCTACAAAAAAATGTATGACAGCTTAAACACTAATGTTATAATTTCTTCAATTCAACGCGAGCCAAACACATACAGTTTTAACACTCCCTGGGAGTTCGTTGAACAAAGAAGCAAGACAATTAATTATGACAACTTAGTTTACCAGTTTCATGACTTAATTTATGAGTTGCATGAATAAACACGGTATCCAAAAGTGGGCAAAACCGCACATAATTTTAAAAACTTATGATGGCATTGGTAATTCTTTAATATGAATAATTTAGGTATAACCCTGCTTTTATTTGTGATGTTATGCCAATGTTTAGATTTGCACGGCATTAAAACCTTTACTATTGCATCTTACTATATTATAAAATGATCCTGGTTACACAAATATTAGCTCGCTGTGCTGATTAATCTACGGCACGTAATCGCACATGTCACATGACAATAAATAATTGAATTATGAAATTGTGGTTTATCCGGGAAACTGTAATTGAAGATCAAATAGCTGTAATAGAATCAAAATCTGTACTAAACTAATAGCCTGGTGTTATTCGATATACGATGGAAGCACGGTTAAAAGGTCAAACAAAAAAAGTCCTGGGTAAACTAAGAAATATCTAGAAACATATTATAAGAACCTATGATTAAATATATGACCAATGTAGTTCTTATCCCTTATACTGATTTATACTAAACACATGGGGAAGAATAATACTAAACATTTAGTTGACATTTTTATATTTTATTTTGACGATAAACTGCTTCAGTTATGCCGAAAATTTGTGAGCTGTTTAAAGCCAGGCACCCACTACGCTGATGGTTGTTGGATGACACGATTCCATAGAGAACTCAACATATAGAGTAGAAATATAAAAATATTGAATCAAAATTATATATTCTAGGGCCAATATTTATTATGTGTACATTAATCGGTGACAAAAACATTTCCTAATTTTCTATTAAAATTATTTTTTTTTATTCATAAAAGTAAGCAATATATATATGGAATTTTTTCCCAGGTTTTTTTCAATGCAACATATTTTTTTTTTAATTCCCGAAAATTCTTGGTTTTATCTTATGGTTCAATGCCAGTGAATGTATTAATGGTGAAGGACAAGTTAAGGGAAAATTACATTACAATAGAATAATGTCAATTGAGCCTGCCATGCCTGTAATATTATTCCAGCAAAAACTTCATATGCTTGTTTCACATGCTCAGTATATTCCGTCTACTAATTTTTTCACTATATTTATGGAATCAAATTTCAAGGACTATAGAAAATGTTATCGAATATACAACATGTATCTTTACAACATTACAAAAACTATTGATTTGGAAATATTAAGTAACATTAGATAATGTTAACTTGAGAAATTGACTAGTCCAAATATGCTATATAATACAGCAAGTAATTTTCAATTTTCAAAGAAAAAATGATCATGAAAATAATTCATCAGCGGGAATAGTCTTAAGGCAATGTGAGAAATATTAAACATGTTAATATTCTACAATGCGACTGCCCCTCACACAAACCATCGCATCTGCGTTTAATTCATCATCAGCGGGGACAGTCTTAAGGCAACGTGAGAAATATTAAACATGTTAATATTCTACGACGCGATTGCCCATGACACAAACCGTCACATCTGCGTTTAATTCACACAGACCCGACGTGACAAAAAATCATGTTGTACGCCACTGTCTGACTTGGTCTTAAGAGGCTAACCCAGTCAAGGAGTTCCTTCAACAGTCCGACAGCATATTTTTTGGTGCTAGAGCACTGCCTCTGGGACGCGACTGGCATCAGTGGGAGGAAGAAAACTAAACTGAACACATGATCAAAGGTATCAGAAGACATAGGCTTGATTTACTTACCGGTCCTGTGTACCTGCTCTGGTGTTCCCTGTAACCCATGGCAGAGCTAGGCCGCTGGTGTAGCTGCGATGTCTGCATTGGAATAATGTTTTGCTTCTCACTTCTTCCTTGAGCAGCCTTCAGTTTCTGGAAAAGATTTAAAACAAGTAATTTAAAGGAGTGTATCATAATACTTTGATAAAACTTAATTGTAGCAATAAAAATTTAAAGTATTAAAGTAAATTTTCAATTTAAAAAAAAAAATGTTATCAGTAAAAGTAATTCAAAGCATTTAAAAAAAAAATCATTTCAATGCTTCTATTTGACGTCATTGTCGTTGATTGTCAGTATTAATTGTTGAGTTTCTCAAAGCTTAACATTAATTGACAGGAGTAAACAAACGGAGTAAACAAATGAGAAATCATTTCTGTAAATTCAACTTGTGCATGGTTTTCTTTTCTTTTTTTTCTTTTTTTTAGGCTAATACATGTAGTTTTCAAGATTTCACTTATGATTTGCACCTGATGGCCAATAACTTGAGAAGCTTGAAATCAGTTATTATATTTTACGGCACAATCAATGGTATGTGATATTTAAAGCAAGTTTAATATATTAAGAATAATTGATTAATACATTAATGACAGCTCTGAGACAAGTGCACAATAAAAATATGTCTAGGGATTGTGAGTGTATGATATAGGAGATTAAAATAGAAATAGCCTAACCTCCATTTTTTAAAGGCTGTCATAACTGCCGCCTACATTCTATAAGGTAGGATTTTATGACATTTGCAGTGAGATCTCTTTCTAAACAGCTTTGCTTCTAAGGTACAATAGCAGGTTATATGCCTCAATTCATTAACATATTTCTAAAATGCCTTAACTAAACCAAATATCCAACTTACATTTTGATCTAGGGTGCCACTCAACTGTGCGTAATTATCCGACATGCCACGATTTGGTACTGGACCGTGATGAATCATTGGGCCCGGCACGTTAACGTTGGATCCTTTCCCGGATTGTTCTTTAACAGTTGTCAATGAAGATGCAACTTGATATTTTTGTCTCTGTTTATCATAATTATCAAAGTCTAATTCTGGTTCCGAGAACAGGCTGAAATCACTTGGTGTGGAGCGGGCCGAGACCGGGGCCGAGCGTGTGCCCATGTGTGTCTCTTCACCTGGTTCATGTACTTTCAGTACCGAATGGTCTTTGACTTCGCTAGGTGGTAAGAAAGATATATATATAATTAAAACTATAAATAAGTAACATAATACAATTTTAGCACCACAAAATTATGAGCAATTATATTATAGGAGAGACTATCAGTCTTTTATTTTAATGTACATTTAAAAATTTTCATTAAATGTACTCATTTTAATAATACTAGTAAGAAATTTTATTCCAAAAGTTTATGCAAAATATCACTTTAACAGAGCTGAATATACAGTATACCAAAGATACTAGAAACACAGGACAGAACTCTCACATGGCAAATTGAAGCGGATATGCCTCCCATCTTTTACGCATATCCCAATGTAAGTGGCGTCCTTCTCCTTCCAATAGCAACAATTTACGTTTCTTGATCTCCCGCCGTACACTGCGCCCCGTGAAATGATAAACAAACTGCGAGTTTTATATTTGTGCCGAATTCTATTGTGTGTTCCTGTATTTTTTAACCATATTTATAGAGGGTGACCCTTCCAACATATCCTTGGTTGGCTGATATTAAGAGGCCCTCTTTAAATAAATAAAATAGTGTTGTACTCTTATCAGCTAAGTCTCTTTATGGGGCCTAGGGAGTGGAGTTGTGAGTAAAAGTCCTGCTATCACAGGAATTGAACTTAGTACCCTGGGATTAGAAGGCAAGCATCTTAAGCACTATTACCCATTTAACTTCTGGTATCTTTGAATATATTGTACACCTCATAAAATAATATGAAAAATAGAAACCATACATTAAAATGACCTTACTACAAGTTGCTACATTGCACTGAGATGAATGACTTAATAAAATACTGCATCTTACTTTAGGTTTTCTAGCTCATAAAAAATTTCAGTTGCTGGGTCTCTCATGTAGATCCTTCGCTCAGGTTTCTCAAGGGCTTCCAATGTAAGCTTTCCTGGGAAGGCACGCACAAACAGCGCCCTGACGGTATCAACGCCTGTAATCTCATTTGGCAATATACCACGTTTAGTCTCGCCCATATACTGCAGGTAGACTAGACCTGAAGGAGCAATGAGAACAATTTTATATTAGGGTGATATTCTAATGACTGTGATATTTGAATGACTGTGAACTTGGAACAAGAAATGCTTTAGTGATTTCAAATTACATTCTTACAAATTTAATTCAAGTACCACAGAAATGCTGAAAAATTTAGCAGGAAAACTGGTCATGTATATGTGATATTGTGTAACATTTATTCTAAATATAAATCCACCTTTCCCCGCAGTTTTTAAATATTCAAAAATCTGTATCTCATTACCAATTTTTCAATTTTTTTTTTTTTTTTATCAAACACCAATTATGTGTCTATAAAAAATCATACAACATATCAAAACTTTTTTATTCCTCTGGCTTTAATGCTACATGCAACATTTTCTCACATTAAAGCTTAAAATTAAATCACCAAACCCATCTTTTAGGTGAATGGTTCTATTCAACATAATTAATACCCACCATATTTTCTACTACAACTACTGTATTTTGTAAGTTATCAGTGAAAAGACCAACTGACTAAATAATAGTAGGCCTAGGTCTACACATAAACTTGGCCTACACATAAACTTGGCCTACACACAAACTTGGTTAAATTATTTTTTGTAGCATTGTACCATACAACATATTTATCTATATTAAAATAAAATATAATCATTATTAAATAAATAAAAGCCTGCAAGCTTACAAATCACACAAAGCAGAAGTGATGTTGTTGTTATGAGTGAGATACTTACCTGGATAAACCTATATATGCCATTTTCCTTTCCTTTTGCATATCGGTTTATCCAGGTAAGTATTCACGAAATAGACGGCTAAAGCTACAGAGTGTGTGGTCTAGACCTACTGTAAACATCCTGTACCAATTTTTTGGGGGGTTCAATAACTAAAAATCTAAAGAAACAAAATTTCATGTATAAATCTAGAGTCATCTTCCCGTCAATTGTGGGTCGACTTGGGCACTACAGTAGGAAATATGTTAACATTTCTCCAGACATATTTTTATCTTCATCCAACTTATTAAAAAAATAGCATATTGTTACAATAATGTTTACTGTAACAATGTTATGCGACATAAAATAACCAATAAATAGTAATATTATATAAATATTATATAATAACAAATATTTATATACTGCCAATTCAAAATTTATCAAAGGCACTAAGTGAGGAAAAAAGGCAAGTTAACGTTCCTGTAATAAATACGTTTTTAGATTTTACAAAAAAAAATAAAGCAAATAGGATATTTTGGAGGATACAACTGGAGTTATATAGAAGTTATTCCATTAATAGTAATATAGTATGTTGGTATTGGTTAAAATGTAATTATACAGCAATTTCACTGTCCTATGACTGCAAATGTAAATTTCAAATCTTCCAAACCAAGACAATCTAAAAAATTAATTGAAAGTAAACCATTAAAATTTTGACTTCAATTTCGAACTATACAATACTAAAGTATTATTATTATCTATTATTAGATATTGTATATTTGTTTTGTGTTAAACACAAAACTATTATACAGAATATTTATGATAATTCTATATGGCATATTATCATAAAAAATAATTCAGAGCTGTAATGATTATGGTAAATTTCATTATAACCAGTATTATTATTATGATACTCCAATGACACAGCAGCTACAGCATACATCATGGTTGTAATTCTTCGATGCCTCCTTAAAATATTGTAATTTGTTCTGCTTGTGGGCAGACGCCATAAAAAGCTGAACACAAATTGCAGCACAGTTCAAAACAACAAAACTGCGGAGCTCGCACAATTCTCAAATGTATGTCTTCCATGATAAATCTAAAGGGCAATATAGTAATTCATCAATTAGGGGCAGATTATGCCAATCAACAAGTTATCTGAATAATAGTTGGCTAAGGATACAACACGCAACATATTTTTAAGCATAATACGATTCTGTAATGAATGAGAAGAATGTCGCAATAACATCTGCTCTGTTTATCATTCAAATTTATAATTTTTTATTCCTTGTTGATGTGCCCTGATCGCCTGCCTTAGTGCTTTCCGATTTTTAGATTATGAATACTGGTCACCTGCTTTATAGTGAAACAAATTCTCATTCTACTATTCAAAATAATCTTGCTAATGCCCTGTCCAGATTTCCAATTTTATTTGACTAATATGTGACATGCTTTAATATGGTTATGATGACATCACATCATGACCATATATAGACACCTCATGACTATATATGGGCATACATTTTTTTTGTTAAAGAAAATTTGACAGTCTGGACAGACCTTTAGTCACATAGAATTTATCAAAAATGAAAATGAAAGATATGAATTAAGAATGGAGACAATAGGCAATGAAAATATGAAACATGATACATTAATTATCATCATATTATCATTACCATCTACATCAACATTAGCTATCTTAAATTGTTAGTGATTAAAAATAAACTTGATAATTTGCTGAAAAAAAAATGTTCAAGTAGCATAGTTAAATCACTTAATTACCATATTTTGCAAGCTGGTACACCCTCACATAAATGAGCCACACCCTCATTGGCGACTCTTAAAACAGCCCCATGTCAATACTCCCTAATGTGTTATTATCATTATTATAATGTTTATCCTTATCAACCACCATTTATCATTATTCATCAAAATTCATGATTATTCTCGTCTACTTTATCATCATGCTCATCACCAACATTATATAACAATTACAAAATTCAACATCCACCTAAATATCAAACTCGATATCATCATCATTATCATTATTATAATAACCTTCACCACCGTCATCACCATACCATATTCTACTAGGTCAACATCACAATCCTTCACCGTGAGAGGAGTAGGTTAATTGTTGTGTATTTTGTCAATGTTTTCAATGAGTAAGGTAATAAAAGGAAGCAGTTGAAGACGTTTCTTGGAACAGCTACATAATGCAACCCATTAAGAATTGCTGTATGCTGTTCCTAACCTATTGCATATTTCTAGATTGTTACATGCATTTCATAATTTTCAAGAACAGCTGGACATATATTTTTTTCTTTAAATCCAGAAAATTTCCAATTTAAGAAATTATTCATTATCATGTTTTCCAGAATAGAATACATTATCTCATATTTGGTGAATATCTAGTTTTAACAACCTGTAGGCCCAATGAGAAAAAAAACCTACCGGTATGATTTTTAAAAATCTGATGTTGATAGTATTAAGCATGTTTTCCATAATATTGATGACACATATCGAGGGTGGTTGATTACAAATTGAGCTTGTGAATATGTAAATTACTATATTCATGCCTCTAATCATGGTTTAAAATACACTGTTAACAATCATTATTAATTAGTACATCAAAAGAAAATAGTATGTGATAATGAATGAGATAAATATTGATGATTTTTAACATAATTATTTTTTTATTTAAACATTTAATTATATTAATTGAACATATTTTTGGAAAACCCTACAGTACATCACATGTACACTATTAGCTTATACACATCT